AGTGGAGAAGGGGGGCAGATGGGGGAAGCGGCGAGGTGGTCCCATGACTCCTTGCCAGGGACCAGCGGGGAGAGTAGAGGTCCTCCGCTGCCTACGCCCTCCTTGCGCAGAAGGCTTTCGCGCAGAGAGAGTAGGAGGAGACTAGGCGTCAAAGAGCTTCTTTGCTGGAAGAAGTTTAAGAAACGCCCACTGACGGATTCTGCCAGCGATTGAGACAGCCACGGGAGAGTGGCTGTCCAGACAGAAAAGGTTCACTCAGGCAACCCAGCCAGGTGTTTGCACCGGCTTACGCACGAGCAACCCCTAGAACCATTACAGTAAACAGACATGTGACACGCAACAATTCCACACGTCTGCTCCTTAAGGTGGAATGGAAATGTCAACAAGGAGAACCCACTTCCTCCTAGTCTGAGGAAACAGAGGGAGACAGCAGTCCTTGCTCAATAGACTCCAGAAATGCCTCCTGGATTTGAACAGAAGACAGAGGCAGCACTTGTGGACTACAATGATCAGCAGGAGGGAAAGATTGAGAGTGCAGAAAGGTAAAGGTAAAGGACCCCTGAATGGTTAAGTCCCGTCAAAGGTGACTATGGGGTTGCGGCGCTCATCTTGCTTTCAGGCCGAGGGATCAGGCGTTTGTCCACAGACAGCTTTCTGGGTCATGCGGCAAGCAGGACTAAACTGCTTCTGGCACAACGGAACACCGTGATGGAAACCACAGCGCACGGAAATGCCGTTTACTTTCCCGCCACAGTGGTACCTATTTATCTACTTGCACTGGTGTGCTTTCAAACTGCTAGGCTGGCAGGAGCTGGGACAGCTATGGGAGCTCACACCATTGTGGGGATTTGAACTGCTAACCTTCTGATCGGCAAGCCCAGGAGGTTCAGTGGTTTAGACCACAGTGCCACCCTTTTTCTGGTTGAGAGTGCAGAACCTGCTGTTGATGAAGTAGACCAGCAGATGGCGCCAGAGGCTGGTGCTGAGCATATTGGCCAAATAGGGGGTGCCATGGCGTCACCTGGCCAGCAGGGGGAGTGGCAGAAGGCCCTCTGTGCTGATGCAATGCATCCTGCCTGCTGTGGCAGAGGAACTTCAGTAGAGGGAGCCTGGAAACTGCTGGTGAAGAATAGGTTGTTATGTGGCAATAGCTGCAAAAGAAGATGAACCCTGTGAATATGCCCACATCAGAGGAGCCCATTGGGGAGTCAGACAAAAAAGCTGTCTTGGCCCCCTTTCAACTGTGGTCCTCACCCAATTGCTTATCACACCTGCAGTGTTTTTGGGCCAATGTTTTCCAGAGAGCGCTCAACCAAAGGCGGGTTTTAGCTAACCATGTTTCCAAAAGGAGAAAAAAAAGGGATTTTATTGGGTGTATAAAACACAGAAATAATACAAATATAATAGCCACCCCTCCCCTCACACCCTCCTTATTTCTTCCTACAACAATAGCTTTGCAGTGATGGAAGACATCGTTTGCCAATGTAAAAGATCGAGGGATGTTCAGTGCTCACATTTCAAACAACAAAGATTTTTAGCACCTATAATGACAAGGTCCCCTGGCCAGAACCCCTCTGACATGATTTTATATCTCCTTGCAGACACAGATAAGCATGTGACCTGGCGTGTAGCACTCTTTGCAACTGCCGCTAGGAAAATTAGAGCAAATTATATAGCCAAGGTAGCCACCAACTGTAAAGGAGAAGAATTTATTTGACCCTATTTACATCAAGCTATATTCTATCTTTAACACCAAACTCTGAATATAATTGCACATTGTATTAATTAACATTATTTTTTAATATATTAGTGGCCATGTGATAATTTTAGCTTATAAATTTTATTGTTTAATGTCTTAAGTTGTATATTAAGGTACTTTTATAGCTCTGTTTAGAGTGGGTAATGTCTTGATAATATAAATGTTTTAAGTTTTTTTGCATCAATGCAGAATAAAAAAGGTAAAGGTACCCCTGCCCGTACGGGCCAGTCTTGCCAGACTCTAGGGTTGTGCGCTCATCTCACTCTATAGGCCGGGAGCCAGGGCTGTCCGCAGACACTTCCGGGTCATGTGGCCAGCGTGACAAGCTGCATCTGGCGAGCCAGCGCAGCACACGGAACGCCGTTTACCTTCCCGCTGGTAAGCGGTCCCTATTTATCTACTTGCACCTGGGGGTGCTTTCGAACTGCTAGGTTGGCAGGCGCTGGGACCGAACGACGGGAGCGCACCCCACCGCGGGGATTCAAACCGCCGACCATGCGATCGGCAAGTCCTAGGCACTGAGGTTTTACCCACAGCGCCACCCGCGTCCCGCGTCAATCCAGAATATTTTCTTTTAATTGTTGAATGATTCTGCGTACATTGCGGCAGCCTTTGGCTTTGTGCAATAAAACTGACTGACAAACGACAAAGAATGGGAGCCATAGTCTGAGGAAATAGTGGAGCTACCAGAAGACTGAGCATTTGATCTTTCCGTCATGACATCCAGATTTACGTGTAATGTAGTTGCAAATAAAGTGCCTGGCTTCTCCTTCCCTTAGGAGGCCCTGGTGCTGTGAGTGTCTTCTTGGCAATTGCCGACTTCCAAACATTTGTACAGCACAATCTGTGTAAGGTCTTGTAGGTTTATCTACCGTATTTTTCGCTCTATAAGACACACCAGACCACAAGACGCACCTAGTTTTTGGAGGAGGAAAACAAGAAAAAAAATATTCTGAATCTCAGAAGCCAGAACAGCAAGAGGGATCGCTGCGCAGTGAAAGCAGCAATCCCTCTTGCTGTTCTGGCTTCTGGGATAGCTGCGCAGCCTGCATTCGCTCCATAAGATGCACACACATTTCTCCTTATTTTTTAGGAGGGAAAAAGTGAGCCTTATAGAGCAAAAAATACAGTATGTCTGAACGATTGCCAGGCATGCGCCAGTCAGAAAGGAAGTTAAACAGCTTTGATTGATTTAAATGGCATTCCCAACACTCCAGGTAACACAAGCTGAATTTCCCAGAATTTGTTTTGGCACAACTAATAAGTGCAATGAAGTGTAGATTTGTCCCAAAATTGGACAAATAATTCCATAACCAGTTGATTTAGCTTAAACCCATTAAATTAGCAAATGGCACAGATGCAGGCATCATATTTATGTTTTTTATTAATAGCTTCTACAATAGTTTATTGATTTAAACTATTTTATAGCAATACAAACAAGAAATAAAAACAACAGTAGGGAAGGTACCAGCAAAGAAAGTCTGTTTTCTTGGTTGGGTTAGTGCTATACAAAGTCAGATCGATATATTCATAAACAAGGACTCAGCTCTTCAGCTGCAAATAAAACGTTTTAATTGTGTTGTGTGTTTTAAGTGCAATATACAATGTGACACTAGATGGCAATGGTGAGCCTTATGGAAAATTCAATGTATTTTTCAAAATGCTTTTAAAAATAATAATTTCGGAACGGTTTTTATATGTGTGTAGATTCCACCCAAGGGCAATATGTGGGGGGGGGGGGGAGAGGAGAGGTCAAATGGAAAAAGGATAGACTCCAGCAGAACCCATTTGGCATATAGATCATAAAGGTAAAGGGACCCCTGACCATTAGGTCCAGTCATGACCGACTCTGGGGTTGCGGCGCTCATCTCGCTTTATTGGCCGAGGGAGCCGGTGTACAACTTCCGGGTCATGTGGCCAGCAGGACTAAGCCGCTTCTGGCAAACCAGAGCAGCGCACGGAAACGCCGTTTACCTTCCCACCAGAAGGTAAACTTGCACTTTGATGTGCTTTCAAACTGCTAGGTTGGCAGGAGCTGGGACCGAGCAACGGGAGCTCACCCCGTCGTGGGGATTTGAACCGCCGACCTTCTGATCGGCAAGTCCTAGGCTCTGTGGTTCAACCCACAGCGCCACCCACGTCCCATATAGATCATATGGAACTCTAAATAGGAGTCCCAGGTCTCAGGATGTTTTATGTTCTTTGTGCTTCCAGCTAAAGGTGGAATTTTCTTTTGCTGCAAAAGAAAAAAGGTCTCCCAAATATAATGCAATCAGGGGGGCTGTCCGATCCTTTCAGTATTTGATTGTAGCTGCTTAGCTAATAGGATTTGCAGGGACCAATCTCATTGCCCTCCATCAAGGCAGAGGACACCAGGAAGTAATGGTGTACAGCACGAACATTTGAATTAATACAGGACAAGGCTAGATCATAAGTTTTGAGTGCTGTCCTGGCTTCACTACAATGCCAGCGCAAATCTGTAGATGAAATATGTTTGTGACAGAGGAAAGGGATGCCAGAAAAAAAACAGGCTTTTGTTGGAATAAATGTAACCTAGCTGCAATAACAACAAAGGTCCGTATAGTTAAAGCTATGGTTTTCCCAGTAGTGATGTATGGAAGTGAGAGCTGGACCATAAAGAAGGCTGATCACCAAAGAATTTATGCTTTTGAATTATGGTGGTGGAGGAGACTCTTGAGAGTCCCATGGACTGCAAGAAGATCAAGCCTATCCATTCTTAAGGAAATCAGCCCTGAGTGCTCACTGGAAGGACAGATCCTGAAGCTGAGGCTCCAATACTTTGGCTACCTCATGAGAAGAGAACACTCCCTGGGAAAGACCCTGATATTGGGAAAGATGGAGGGCACAAGGAGAAGGGGATGACAAAGGACGAGATGGTTGGATAGTGTTCTCGAAGCTACCAGCAGTGGAAGACAGGAGTGCCTGGCGTGCTCTGGTCTATGGGGTCATGAAGAGTTGGACACAACTAAACGACTAAACAACAACAACAAGCTGCAAGAAAGAAAAGCTGCCGGCTCAGATGTATGTGGCTATTCAGCTCCCTTTTCTAATCTGCCATCAGGCCACCTTGCGCTGAATTTGATGGCTGAATCAAGGAATGGAAAGACCTCAGACTTGTTTACTTCCTGCACCGTTAACAGTTTGCAATTCAGCCATCACGCTTCACCCAGGTCCTCAGGCATGGAAAAAGAGACCCAAAGAATTAATCGCACACCATATCTTAACTCACATCTTTTTTTAAAAAAAAGCAACAACAGTATTTCCCCCACTCAAATACTTTAATGGCCTCCTTCAATTAATCACCATTCTCACTAATCATGTAATGATAACTAGTGATAGTTTAAGGATTAAGGACTCAAAGGCAGGCAACCTATTATGCACATCATTAAGAAGAAAACACCACACGAAAAGTCAAGGCAGCAACGGATGGTCAGTGATTAAACATAGATCATGAATTGAAATTCACTGCAAACATTTGTGTTGTGCTTCCACATTATATTTTACAGCGCTAGTGATCGATTTAAGAGTCCAAGAGAAATACAAACTTTGGAAACGCGTGTAAAATCTCTGCTCTTGCATACAATGTATTTCCACATTGCTACAGGTTGTATGCAATTTATTTAATGCACCGTGATAATAATAATAATAATAATAATAATAATAATAATAATAATAATAATAATAATAATATATTTATACCCTGCCCATCCAGCTGGGTTTCCCAAGCCTCTCTGGGGAATTTGAGAATTGTAGCATTAGAAAACAGTACAGCTACCAAAGGAACATAATTTGAAGTAGTCTTGGCAGTACTTGATGATGATCTGGTTCAGGAGCCTTGGCTTGATGGTTGATCTGCTTGTTGTCCTTTCTCGGCGTCCACCGACTGTTTCTCCTCCGGCTGTGACTCTGGGGCTGGTTCTCCACTTCTAGCCACTCTGAATCTACTCATGTGTACAGCCTCCTCATAAATGGGGGGTGTCTCCATCCCAGCAGGGTAATGTGTGGCTGGGAGAACGTTGTGGGAATGAGCTACTGCAAGCATTCTTCTAGCAGCTGGACCAAACACCGAATGGAAGGCTGAAAATGAGAAGAACACACAACTCTTCAGGTTACTTCCAGGACCTTAAATATCAGGAATGAGCGAGGATAAGAATGACCCCAATGCTGTGACAGATTGATGGTTGAGGGGGCTTCCGCCAAAGGAATGCACACTGCAGAATGCACACAGAGTGCACACAGAATTTATTGTCCAAGATAACACAGAAGAAACGTAGTGGGAGGGGGCAGGGGTACCAAGGCCCTGGCGCTCATTTTTGAGGGGTTGCTATCAGGTGCCCCCGCAATGGGCACGGAGTCCTGGCAGCTGAGGGTTTTTTTTAAAAAAAAATTATTGACAATTTCAACATAACAAATTATCAAAACACATCATCTTCATTATTTCCCCCCATTCCCCCCCACCTCCCCAACAAACCCTCCCCCCTATGACTTCCCTCAGCTCCTTTCTCTGATTTCTCAACCAACGTTATAAAATGGTATACATCCTTATATTATCTGTCTACTATGTTAACCCTCAATAAATTTGTGTATGTTTCCTCAAGACCTGCCAAGGAGTCCGATTCATTTTGCTGTCTTTTAAAATAATTTGTAAAAGGTTCCCATTCTTCTTTAAAGTCACAGTTGTCCTTGTCTCATAATGTGTGTGTCAATTTTGCCAGTTCTGCATAGTTCATCAATTTTTCTTGCCACTGTTCTTTTGTCGGGGTTTCCTCATTCTTCCATCCTTGTGCAATCAAGACTCTTGCCGCTGTTGTTGCATACATCAATAAATTCTTTCTTTTCCTTGGTGGGTCTTGTCCTACAATCCCTAACAAAAAGGCATTTTTGGCAGCTGAAGGTGGCGGCAGGCGGGTTGGTTTAGTGGGCAGGTGGGTGGAGGCAGTGGGGGCAGAGCCTGCTGGAGGCGGGCTCCGTTCACCCTCCATGTGGGCTCCACGCATGCCCCCCTGGCGCTCCCCTCCCCATTGCAGCTGCCCAGTCCACCAAGGGGGCACAAAACCTGCCTCGCCCTGTGTGCCAGCAACCCACGCTATGTCACTGTAGCTGCTTCTACAGCTCTGGATATCGACACCTACCTAGGAGCAGAGAGAGGCTGCGGCTGCAGCTTCCTTGTGCCCGGCAGTTTTGGCAGAAAGAGGAGGGTGGGCGCCAATGCTGCCACCCACTCTCCTGGACTGTGGCACCCGAGTGTACCCTCTGCGCCGCTTTGCGAGCTCCCTGCATTCTCCACCCCTCCTTGGGGGACCTCTCTGCACACCCGCCCTGGGCAGTGTTTCCATACGCTCCACCGCTGAATACATTAAAAAAACTGTAGCATCTCTTCATGGGAAGGAAGAAGCAAGACTGGGATAACGGAAATGCAAAACGATCTGCTTCTTTCTTGGATGAAATGTCCAAGACTGCTCTGCGCTGGTTTACTGGTTTTGCCTCAAAGGCAGATGGAGATTGGAGTAGGGTCCTTTCTATTGATTTTTTAAAAAGTTTTTTTTTTAATTTTTATTTATTGGATTTTTCAACTTTTACAGAGATATATCACACATAAATCATTAAAACAAGATTCCAAGGAATCTCCTGGACTTCCATCCTCCCCTTTGTAGGTCCTATTATTAATCATTTCCTCCCGGATCTTTTATAATACAGTGGTGCCTCGGGTTACATATGCTTCAGGTTACATATGCTTCAGGTTACAGACTCTGTTAACCCAGAAATATTACCTCGGGTTAAGAACTTTGCTTCAGGATGAGAACAGAAATCGTGCTCCGGCGGCACGACGGTAGCGGAAGGCCCCATTAGCTAAAGTAGTGCTTCAGGTTAAGAACAGTTTCAGGTTAAGAACGGACCTCCGGAACGAATTAAGTACTTAACCCGAGGTACCACTGTACTCCAAACCTTTTACCTCTTCCATTATGTCCAGAATCAACCTTAAACAACAAGTGATATTCCAATCCTACTAACGATTTTAACTGTTTACAATGGTCTTTAACATAAGTTATAATTTTTACCCATTCCTCATTAAAATTTTGGTCTTCCTGATTTCTGACTTTTCCGGTCATTTTAGCCATTTCAGCACACAGTGGTACCTCGGGTTAATAACTTAATTTGTTCTGGAGGTCCGTTCTTAATCTGAAACTGTTCTTAACCTGAGGTACCACTTTAGCCAATGGGGCCTTCCGCTGCCGCCGGAGCAGGATTTCTGTTCTCATCCTGAAGCAAAGTTCTTAACCCGAGGTACTATTTCTGGGTTAGCGGAGTCTGTAACCTGAAGCGTCTGTAACCTGAAGCATCTGTAACCTGCAGTAACAATGTAGTCCATTAACTTGATCTGCCATTCTTCTCTAGTAGGAACCTTTCTATAGATTTTAAGCAACTAGCATGGGACTAGTATGGTTGCTCAACTCACAAGTGATGGTGCTTTGAAGAGTGCTGTCGTGATCAAATGCGATGACTGTGACTTCATAGGGCTGGGAGTTGTCGTCTTCCCCGGCTGGGTGGCAGTGAAGGCAGCAGTACCTCACACAGACAGAGACGAGGCCGCAGAGGAGCAGCAGCGCAACCATCACAACCACAAGCCCAGAAGTGGGGGGAAAGAAGGGGAGAGTCAGAACCACTGCCGTTTATTGTTCATACTAAGTAGGAACATGGGCATAGCCTATGGTTAGCAGACATCCCTGTTTCCCGGGGACAGTCCCAGGATTGACAAATCTGTCCCTGGACAAAATCCGTCCCCAGAATGTCCCCGGATTTCATTTAATGTCCCCGGATTTAAATTTTAAGTGTTGTAGATTTATTAGTAGGTGTCAGGGAACTGCCATCGGAGGAACCAGTGGTGGAAGGGCTCACGCAGGCTGGGAGAGACTCAGCAGCTGAAGAAGGAACCAGCAGGGGGAGAGGTGGGTCTCTGAGGGAAAGCGAGCAGGAGGGAGGGCTCAGGGACACGTCCAGCGAGAACAGTGGGGAGGTATCTGAAGCTCCCATAGGGAGACCCACTCCTCGCCGGAAACTGTCACGCCGTGAGTCCAGAAGACGTGTTTCCGTTAAGGAGCTTTTATGCTGGAAACGATTCCAAAAGCAACCACTGTCGGAATCTGCAAGTGACTAGAGCAGCCATGTCTGAGGGGCTCTGTCACAGACAGAAGTTTGTGGGCTTGAACAAACTCTGAGGGACTACGATTTTACGCACAAGCAGCTCATCATCCCATCACAGTAGGGAATGAACGTTGCGTGATTGGTTCAACGGCACAAGACACATCATATGGGGACTTCCAGCGACGCAAAATGGCGGGCGCCATGGCAACGAGCAGCCCCTGAAGCCAGCCAGAGCCAATTGCGCTACCAGGCTGGCTCTGGGCTGCTGAGACTGCTGCTGCCGCCACCACTGCCTAGGGGGAACCGAGGACACCCATCACATCAACTGGGGGAACCGCTGACACACACACACACACACACAACCCAAATCAAGCCAGGCGCAAGAGTGCCCGGCCAACTGCCCAGCAGCGCTCCAGGGCCAGGAAAACCCTGAAGCCGACGCAGGGAGAAGGAGGAGAGGAGAAGGAGAAGGCAGAGATAGAAAGAGGAAGGAGAAAAAAGAGGGGAGCCCTGACCTTGCCGCACTGCTGCCACCACTCAGGAGAAGAAGTAGGAGAGCACCGGGAGGGCAAGGACACATGGCCAGGCCCAGGCCTGACCCGAGCCTACTCCATGGTGGCTAGCGCTCCAAGACAGCAGGCTGGGGCCCAGAGGAAGGCCACGTGACAGAGAAGACCACAGAAGAGAAGATATTACTTCTTATTTTTTTTAAATAACTTTTTAAAAAATCTTTTTCCCCCTCTTTTTTTTAAAAAATAAAAAAGTGTCCCTGGATTATTTGAAAAAAATCTGGTAACCTTAGCATAGCCAGGCTTTATGTTGGGGGGACAGGCTTCATGTTAGGGGGGCAGAACCTCAGTTAGTTAAGTATTTTCATTGATTTACTTGATTTAGGGGGAAGCTGCTCCCTGCCCCCCCCCCCCGTTAAGCCCATGTGTAGTAACCCAAACATCATGAATCAAGCGATGAGCAGATCTCCCAGCACTCCATCCTTTTGTTCCAAAATAAGTCCATTTGCCCCTTCTCGGGCTGGCAGCTTTGTCGGCGGCCCCCTGGGCCTCCTCTGTGAATCGTCCTATCGTCCTCCTGCCACCAAATTGGCCAATGGCGGAAAGAATTAGAGGGCATTCTCCTGGGCGCGGGAACAACTAGACAATAGCGAGGCTTGGCCCCATGCCCAGAGCAAGGATAAATTCCTGGCCTGCTGGGCATTTTTGTGTCTCTCTCGCTGCGATGGTGCACACACACCATTTGAATGGCAATGCCCATCAACTTTTGAGGGGCTTGGCCCCCCTCAAATACTCTGGAGTACATAGGAGTTGGTTCCTATGTCTGCAGTTTGTTCCAGAAGCAGAGCAATTCAATTTGTTCCTTCAGTCTACAGTCGTACCTTGGAAGTCAAACGGAATCCGTTCCGGAAGTCCATTCAACTTCCAAAACATTTGGAAGCCAAAGCACAGCTTCTGATTGGCTGCAGGAAGCCCCTGCAGCCAATCAGAAGCCACAGAAGCCCCATCAAACATTTGGCTTCCTAAAGAACGTTTGAAAACTCCCGAATGTCGCAAACCCGGAAGTGAGTGTTCCGGTTTGTGAACATTTTTTGGAGGAAGCTGAATGCCTGATGGTGCTTCTGCAGCTTCTGATTGGCTGCAGAAAGTTCCTGCAGCCAATCAGAATCTGCACCTTGGTTTTTGAACCATTTTGGGGGTCAAACGGACTCCTGAAAAGGATTAAATTCAAGAACCAAGGTATGACTGTATCATTTTGGAAGGACACTGGATGCAAGGGGACACTTCCTCCTCATCCAGTCCCTGAATCCAGGGGGATATAATATTAGGGCTGCTGGCTGAGGTAGGAGACCTGAATGTGCACCATAGCATTTTAATCTGCAGGCTTTACAGGAATCACATGTCCTCTGCATGAACAATCCATCTATGTAGAAAACTAGTACAACGATAATATTATGGCTAGTCCTCTCTCTGTAATGGTAGTTTTCTATGCTGGGGTATGGTAATATTTTAAACAGAGGTGTTCTAGCCCTATTCAAAGTGGATCTTTTTGAAATTAATGGTCATTTAGGCCCATTAATTTCAATGGCTCTCCTCTGAGCAGAAATCAGTTGGGTACAACCTACAGATTGATGTGGCACAGACCTAGCACAGGTTTGGGTCTTCAGTGAAAATTAGGCTTCAATGGAAACAGCACTCAGCACTGCACAGAAACCCCAGGCTGTCACAATGCACATTCCAGGACAGCATGCAGCTGGTGGCATCATTCATCAACACAAACATCACACAACTGACACAGTTACAACATGTTTTTTCCCAAAAAAGAAACTTACCAGATGTACCAGAGATGGACCCAGTTTTGGCTTGAGCAGCTCTGGGGAGAACTGGCGATTCAAGAAAATGTTAATATCATAGAAATAAAAGCCAGGTTTGCACATCCATGAATGCCCCTATTTCCCTTTGCTTGATTACTCGAGATTTGTTAAGTAGCACCTGTGCTTTTAAAGTGATCAGAGGAGACAGGACTGTTTAATCAATGCTTAACATTCATCTGTTTCATGGTATTTAGCTGAAGACCACCTTGGGAGAAAGGCAGGATATGGATATAATAGATTGAATCAATAAATGATTTGGTTTTGTAAACTGCACAGTTCAAACATCTTAAGCCTCAGCCATCTCTAATACTTCTTTTCTTTGAACATCCCAAGTGCAGATAAACACAGGAAATTTACTGGGTGATAACAGAGGGCTGACAATGAGATGCTTGTTTGAAAGAAGGCGGGCAATATAAGCTTTTAAAGTGAGACTGTTCCTTTCAAGACTACGTTCTTTTTTTTTTTTTTTTTATAAAATTTTTATTGGTTTTAGAAACTTTTTAAACAAAAGACAAACAAACACCAAAAATGACAAACATACACGTATAGTTTCAAACATATTTTCATAAACTTCTTTCCTTTGACTTCCCCATACCCCCCCCCTCTGCATCCCAGTGTCCAAAGTTCAACTAGCAACTCCCAATTGTTATTTTCCAATCTCTATCTTCTTAGTCCTTTCTTAAATTTCTAACCTTATATCCCTGTATCCCTTTGTTTCTGGAAACCGCAACATTTTAACATTCATTAAGTTTATAGTAGTCCTTAAGATAACTTTTAAATTTTCTCCATTCTTCTTCCACCGTCTCTTTTCGTTGGTCACGGATTCTGCCTGTCATCTCGGCCAATGTCATATAGTCCATCACTTTCATCTGCCATTCTTCCAAAGTGGGTAGATCTTGGGTCTTCCAATACTTTGCGATGAGTAATCTTGCTGCTGTTGTAGCATACATAAAGAAAGTTCTATCCCTCTTTGTCACCAATTGGCCGACAATGCCCAAGAGAAAGGCCTCTGGTTTTTTCGAGAAGGTACATTTGAGTACCTTTTTGATTTCATTATAGATCATTTCCCAGAAGGCCTTAATCTTCGGGCATGTCCACCAAAGGTGGTAGAAGGTACCTTCAGTCTCTTTACACTTCCAACATTTGTTATCGGGCAGATGATAAATTTTTGCCAGCTTGACTGGGGTCATGTACCACCTGTAAATCATTTTCATTATGTTTTCTCTTAAGGCATTACATGCCGTAAACTTAACACCGGTGGTCCATAACTGTTCCCAGTCGGCAAACATAATGTCATGGCCAATGTCTTGTGCCCATTTAATCATGGCTGATTTCACCGTTTCATCCTGTGTGTTCCATTTCAGCAACAAATTATACATTCTTGACAAATTCTTAGTGTTGGGTTCTAACAGTTCAATTTCTAGTTTCGATTTATCCACTTGAAAGCCAATTTTCCTGTCCTGTTTGAAAAGCTCCATTACTTGGTAGTATTGAAGCCAGTTTTGTACTTTATCCTTCAATTTGTCATAACTTTGTAATTTCCACTTATCTCCATCCTGTTCCAAAATTTCCCAATACTTCGGCCATCCGACCTCCATATTGAGTTTCTTTACTGCTTTAGCCTCGACTGGTGACACCCATCTAGGGGTTTTGCTTTCCAACAGATCTTTATATCGCATCCATACATTAAACAGTGCTTTTCTAACAATGTGATTTTTAAAGGCACTATGCTGCTTAATTTTGTCATACCATAAATATGCATGCCAACCAAAAACATTATTAAAGCCTTCCAGATCCAAGATGTCTGTGTTCTCGAGGAGCAACCATTCCTTCAGCCAGCAAAAAGCTGCTGCCTCATAATACAATTTTAAGTCCGGCAGGGCAAACCCCCCTCTTTCTTTAGCATCTGTCAATATTTTAAATTTAATTCTGGGCTTTTTGCCCTGCCAGACAAATTTCGAAATATCTTTCTGCCACCTCTTAAAACATTCCATCTTGTCTAGAATCTGCAAGGTCTGAAACAAAAATAACATTCTAGGCAATACATTCATTTTAATCACTGCAATTCGGCCTAACATTGACAATTTCAAATTTGACCATATTTCTAGATCTCTTTTAATTTCTGACCAACATTTTTCATAGTTGTCCTTGTACAAATTCAAATTTTTAGATGTTAAGTATACCCCTAGGTATTTCACCTTCTTAACCACTGTCAAACCTGTCTCCTCTTGAAATTTCTCCTTTTCCATATCTGTTAAATTTTTCCCTAAAACTTTTGTTTTTTGCTTATTCAACTTAAATCCAGCTACCTGGCCAAACTGTTGTATTATTTCTAAAGCCTTTTTCGTGCTAGTGTTTGGCTCTTGCAAAGTCAATACTAAGTCATCTGCAAACGCTCTCAACTTATAATGTTTAGCTCCGACCTGCACCCCTTTGATCTGCTGGTCATTTCTTATCATATTCAGCAACACCTCCAGAACTGAGATAAAAAGTAATGGGGAAATCGGGCACCCCTGTCGTGTTCCTTTTTCTATCTTAAGTTCCTCAGTCACAACATTATTTACAATCAGTTTAGCTTTTTGTTCTGAATATATTGCAGCCATACCATTCTCAAAACCCTGGCCTACCCCCATCCCATGAAGATTCTTCCTCATAAAGCTCCAAGAAATATTGTCAAAGGCTTTCTCCGCATCCACAAAGATCAGTACTGCTTTAGTGTTTATATTCACCTCTAGCTTTTCCAGAATATCTATTACATTCCTTACATTGTCTGCCAGGTGTCTTTTAGGGAGAAAGCCTGCTTGGTCCCTATGAATCTTCTCCATCAACACTCTTTTAAATCTTTTTGCCAAAATGTCTGCAAAGATTTTGTAATCCACATTAAGCAATGATATTGGGCGGTAGTTCTTAAGTTGGGTCTTTTCAGTCTCTGATTTTGGTATGAGTGAAATATATGCTTCTTTCCACGATTCAGGTGCCTTTTTTCCCTCAAGGATCTCATTACAAACTTCTCTTAGTGGTTGAATCAACCATTCCTTCAACGATTTGTAGTATCCGGAAGTCAGTCCATCTGGTCCTGGAGATTTGCCCAGTTGCATATTCTGAATGGCAGCCTCTATCTCTTGTTCTGAGATTCTCTGGCTCAAATCCATCTTACTTTGGTGAGAGATACTTTGTAATCCATATTTTCCAAGGAATTTATCTATATCTTCTTCATTTTGCGGGCCTTGAGTGTAAAGTTTTTTGAAATAACTTAGAAAGCAGTTTCTGATTTCATTGGGTTTAGATATATTTTTCCCATCCACCTCTAGGCTTGTAACTGTATTTAATTTCTGCCTTTTCTTCAGTTGCCATGCCAAGAGTTTGCCACATTTATTTGCTGATTCAAAAGTCTTTTGCTTCATTTGCTTTATCTTCCATTCAATCTCTTGGTTCATCAATTCCATATATTGTGTTTGATACAGCTTAATCTCTCTTAGGATGTCCTGAGACTTTGGTTTTGTTCTTAATTTTCTCTCTCCTTCCTTTATCATTTCCAAAATCTTTTCTTTTTTCTCATTCTGTTTTTTCCTCTTTATTGAATTTTGTTGTATCAAAAATCCTCTCATTACCGCCTTACTTGCGTCCCAGATCACTCTTTTCTCCACGTCGGTCCTCAGATTTATTTCAAAGTAGTCTTTTAAAGTCTTTTGGGCCTTCGTGAGAATCTCCTTATCTCGAAAGAGGGTGTCATTCATTCTCCATCTGAATTGACCAGTTATTGTGATTTTCATCTCCATCTTCAGGGCGTTATGGTCGGAGCAAGTTTTTGGACAGATTTCCACTTTCTTAATCTTTGGAGCCATTCCACTAGTAATCCAAATTTGATCGATTCTTGTCCAGGTCATCATTGCTTGGGAGAAGAAAGTTCCCTCTCTCTCCAGAGGGTTCCTTGTTCTCCATATATCTATCAAGTCCATATTTTCTGTCATTTCAAAAAAAGTCTTAGGGAGTCTCCCTTCCTTGCTAACTATTAGTCTTTGTGCCTTGTCCATATTAGTGGAGACCACGCCATTCATGTCTCCCATGATTATCATATTGTAATCCAGAAAGTCAGTCAGGGTTTCGTGAAGTCTCTTAAAGAAGTCAGATTTGCCTTCATTCGGTCCTTTCAAGACTACGTTCGGCTGGTTCCAAGTAGCTCAGATCTCCTCTTCTGCACACACAATTTCCACAGCGCTCACTGACATTATTTAAGGATCTCTCTAAGCCTGGTCCTAAGAGGCAAAGAGGTCTAGTGGCCTTCAAAACTTGGATTCACGTTTGAAGCATGTGATCTAGGGCTCACCTTAAGACTAATTCTGGAAAGCTTGCTTTGCTGGAGAGAGTGTGACACCCCCCCGCCCCGATAATCCCACACCTATGGTGAGATTTTGAGAAAGTGCAGGGGTTCTGGTTTAAAATATTTGCAAACTGGGCAAGTAAACAAGCCTAAGATCACCCCAGAGCCAGCATTGGCATACATCTCCATTTTCTGGGGAAGAATGACAATTCCCAGACATTACAAATCCACAATGACAAAACTCTTAGTGGCAGAGTGACTCAAATTTTCCAAAAATTGGGGAACATCTGAACACATTTCCATGAAAAATTGTTAAACTGGGCTATGGCAACTGGGCCTTTAGGAGAAATTGACACAAGAACATAGGGAAACCCACACCAACAAGTTCAAAGTGACCCAATACAATATCCGTTTCCCTGCCTTGTTCATAGCTGTTTTCCTTTTTTTAAGGGAAATTCCCTTATTCCGAATAGGATTCCTCGCAAGAAAAGGGAAAAGTTGACAGCTATGGCCTTGTTACTGAAGGGGATTCAGATAGGTGGCTCCCAAGTCTTATTTTGGATGTTGGAAGCTGGATGCCAAGTTCCCCAAAATTTCTTGCGAGTCTGTAACTTCTGGTCAGACTCTTTAATATGGCTGTTGCAGCCCCCTGTAGAATGAAACCAGTTAGGAAATGATGGCGTTTGTATCACCACTAAATACACTTTCTTGAGGACCCAAGCTTTCCTTACAGGGGTCAGCAAACTTTTCCAGCAGGGGGCCGGTCCACTGTCCCTGAGACCTTGTGGGGGGCTGGACTATATTGGGGGGGTGATAAACAAATTCCTATGCCCCACAAATAACCCAGAGCTGCATTTTAAATAAAAGGAAACATTCTACTCGTGTAAAAACACTCTGATTCCGCGGGTTGGATTTAGAAGGCGATCTGGCCCCCGGACCTTAGTTTGCCTACCCATGATTGAGACCATTGCCAAAGAGTGTGTGTCTCCCCCTCAATCTTCCACCTGAAAACTGAGGCAAAATTTTACTTAATTTCACTCAAAATTTCAATCTACTGCAAGAAGCAGTTAATTCCATGAACATACTCACTGGTCAGTGCCTGAACAGCTCTCCTGCAGTGTCACCTGAGGAATCTTCAAGAGATGAAAAAGTCAAAGTGGCTTTTATTCTTTCCTCAACATCCACTCCATTTTTAAATCATAGAATCGGAAGGGACTCTAAGGGTCATCTAATCCAACCTGAATATGCAGTCGGGCCATACAGGGATCAAACCTGCAACCCTGGTGTTATCAGCACTGCATTCTAACCAACTGAGCTATCTTTGCCTTCTTCCTCAAGGGATATAATATTAATTTTTGTTCTACACCCCAGCCAGATATTTCATTCTTCTCTCTCTCTCCACTACATGACTGAGAGATGCCTTCTGCATTTCACAATACAGATCCCTTATTGAATTCTAATTCCCTGCTGGCTTTCCTTTCTGGCCAAACCGAAATCCAAGGCGGCTTACCTGAGACAGACATGTCAGAGCAGAGATGGTCACAACTCGGCTCGTCTTCCCCATCAGTGAATCTTCTGTTGCTCAGTCTTCTGTCGTCCAAAGCAGGGACCTCCTTGCAACCTCACGTTCATCATGCGCCATCTTCAAGCCGGCATAAGAGACATTGAAATTGCCTGGGGGCGCCACATCTCACAGCTTTTATTCTTTATACTTTTGCCCCCATCACGTAGGCTTTCTTAGAAATTCACACTTCCTCTCTTTTAGCTCTGATCAATCTTCTATATGGACACACACACAGAAATATAGGCAAATTGTACATGCATAATCTCAGTAGCATATACCTCAAAGAAAGCTGAGGAGTGTCTTGTTCTGCTGCCCTGTGAAAAAGTGCTCCTGTATCACTCTGTAGTGCTACCTGTCCCTTTGCCTTCACCACCCCAACCCCCAGAACAAAGTCCAGGATGAAGCAACTGACCTTCTGCTTTACCTAGGTTGAGAGGTCTATTCCTCTGCCTCCTGCATCTATGTCCTTATCGCTTTGCAATGAGCAAGAGGGGATACTTGAAAAACGACGGAAAAAGCATTTCCCAGTATTCCACCCATGCGTTCCACTAATCCCCTTGCTCCAAAGTTTCAATAAAGCACCAAAGGTATAAACATTAATCTGTAGCAAATGATTGCTACTTCCCTGTTTAGACCCACATGCTTTCCACGCTTTTTACTTTAGTGGCGTTTGGCTTTCTTCTCTCAATTCTCCCTCAAGCGGTTACATTAAAAAGCCTCTTAACGGCCTGTTTCCCCCCTTGTATAATAACCACTATTACATTCCTGCATGTTCCGCATATAAATACATGAGCTGAGCATGCAGATTTGGATATAGCAGTAGGGGAGAAATGGTAAACATTTCCGAAGAATCCATAATTCAAATTTCAGTCGGTCATAACACAATCGGTTTTTGCGCTTAATAATCCTTCTGCTCTGGGGCTGTATTGCATCTGAAAAAGTCTGGCAGGTGTTTTAACCTCTGCTACAACCGTGACAACAATTAAGCTGGTGAATCATTACTCTGGCATAATTTTCAGAGCCAGTGAGCAGAACCGATGGATTTTTTTTTTTTTTAAATAGCAGTCACGAAACTAGAATTTAAACAGGCATGTCAGGTGTATATGCTCCAAGGAGAACAGCATGCATATAAAAGTGCAGAAATACAGGCAGCAGCATGTTGACACGGATGCTGGATCCAGAAACTGACTCTGTTGGTGCTGGTTCAGGACCACCTGACCCCCAAACAGAACTGAATATTTTCCCTTGAATATTTTGCCCTTCAAAGTCAAGGTTCTGAGTGGAATACTGAGAAATACTTTTCCATTCATTTTTCAAGCACCACCACTTCTTCGCTGCAAAACAAAAAGCACATAAATGCAGAAGGGAATTTGGCAAAAAACCCATCTGGAAGGGCCCTATATCTAATTATCTAATGGGCAAATAAAGAATTATAAGCTTTTTTTTCCATATGTTGCTCTGCAGGTTTAAATTATATAAATATTAATGCTAAGATATATTTATGCTGTAAAAATGGCAAAGCTCCGTTTTGCGCATGCTGTATCTGTGTCAGCCAACAATTTTCAAAAAGCAATTGTCAGAACAGGGAAACTAATTCTGTGCAGTGGTACCTCGGGTTAAGAACTTAATTCGTTCTGGAGGTCCGTTCTTAACCTGGAATTGTTCTTAACCTGAGGTACCGCTTTAGTTAATGGGGCCTCCCGCTGCCGCTGCACCGCAGCCACGCGATATCTGCTCTCATCCTGAAGCAAAGTTCTTAACCCGAGGTACTATTTCTGGGTTAGTGGAGTCTGTAACCTGAAGCATCTGTAACCTGAAGCACTTGTAACCCGAGGTACCACTGTATTTGTTTGCTCCGAAGGTCTCCTCACTGAATTCAACCTAATGAGATGGGAGATGTTAAGTTGTGGGTGAACATATCAGACGCCACAGCGATTCTTCAAACAGCTCTTGTTTATTCACAGGCCAGAACAGAACTGAACTGAAGGGTTCAGCCAACCTGCTTATATAGAGCTCCAGTACAACGCAACTGTAACAACTTTCTGTAACTATCCAATCACTGAACGTCACTTTTGATCCCTTATTTGCATATATGGACCTGAACTATCTACAGTATCCCCCTGCTGGCCCAGGGTGAGAACTTCAGTACATAACAGGAGAACTAAGGAAAAGGAACGTATGCCATACTAATTGTTTTTTGAGAAAGCAAAAGAGCAGAAATTAGGTCCATTCCAAATCAATTCAAATTTCTGAAAAACAACAGACATACTTTCACATGATTCCCTGTTTAAAAATAGTCTTTACTGGGGAGAAGCAAGAGCAGAAGAAGCCACGTCCACTAAGATAAGCAGAAATGTTGAGTTTTTCCAGTATACCCAACTGCCCCCAGCCCAAATATACAGTACATGATGATGATGATGATGATGATGATTTTATTATTTGTACCCTGCCTATCTGGCTGGGTTGCCCCAGCCACTCTCGCCGGCTTCCAGCATATAATAAAACATTAAAACATTATATAAAACAGAATAAAACATTAAACATTAAAAAACTTCCTGAAACAGGACTGCCTTCAGATGTATTCTAAACGTTGCATAGTGACTTATCTCACTGACATCAAGAAGATTTTTCAACACAAAGAACAATCTTGATGCCTTGGTTAAGTTTCAACACTTAATGACTCTGCAGGAATGTTTGGTCATGAAATTGGGGTTAAGATTTAGGAAGAAACAAGAGTAATCTTTTGAAACGTGTCTTTTGTTCTAGAGCTTCCTTTATGAGACAATCCCCCTTCAAACCAATATATTTTCCAGCATTTTAAAAGGTAAAGGTAAAAGCACCCCTGACCATTAGGTCTAGTCGCGGACGACTCTGGGGTTGCGGCACTCATCTCGCTTTAATGGCCAAGGGAGCCGGCATACAGCTTCTGGGTCATGTGGCCAGCATGACTAAGCCGCTTCTGGCGAACCAGAGCAGCGCACGGAAACGCCGTTTACCTTCCCGCTGGAGCGGTACCTATTTATCTACTTGCACTTTGACATGCTTTCGAACTGCTAGGTTGGCAGGAGCTGGGACAGAGCAAGGGGAGCTCACCCCGTTGCTCAGATTCACTCAAAAGGACCACAGCGCCACCCGCACCTTTCCAGCATTTTACTAAACAGATAATCAAAGTTGTAACTACTAAATCAAGCCCACCATTTTCCAAATGAATATTCCATATCTAGATGAGTGGAAAGATAATGCTGCAGTACTATCAGAGATCTGCTTTGTCCAGAATGTTATACAAAATTTGTTGTGTTTGATGATTCCTCTTCAAGGTGAAAACTTGCATTTCCTTCTCGATTCTCAGATTTGTTGGGTGCAGCAGGAGTTTTTCCAGCATTTTACTAAACAGAAAATCAAAGTTATAACTACTAAATCAAGCCCACCATTTTCCAAATGAATATTCTATATCCAGATGAGTAGAAAGATAAGGAACAGCTGCAGAACTGTCAGAGATATTCTTCGTCCAGAGAGTTAAATAAAATTTGTTGTGTTTCATGATTCCAAGGTGACAACTATTTCCTTCTGGATTTTCACATTCTTTGGGTGCAGGAGCTTTTGCCAAGCGATTTCTTAAGCGCTATTTGAACATCTTTGTTTCTCAGGCTGTACACTAAGGGGTTCAACAAGGGAGTCACCATTGTGTAAGAGACAGAAATAAAAGTGTCTTCATCTAGTGTGTATCTGGATTTGGGCCTTAAATAGATAATGGAAGCACAACCAAAGTGCACCACGACCACAATAAGATGGGAGGCACAAGTGGAAAAGGCTTTACGCTTCCCAGCCGTTGTGGGGATTTTCAAGACAGTGTTAACAATTAAAAAGTATGAGAGAAGGATGAACAGGAATGCACAAATTACAACCAAAACACAAATAATGAAAATGACAGTTTCTCCTATGTAGTTTCGGCCACAGGCTAATTCAAGCAAAGGAGCTAAATCGCAAAAGAAGTGCTTAAGTTTATTTGGTCCACAGAAAGGCAAGGTAAATATGATTATAGTCTCTGAGGTGGAAAAAAGAAATCCAGTTGTTGCTGAACAAGCCACCAGTTTGGTGCAGAGACTTTGATTCATCAAAATCTGATAACGTAAAGGTTTGCATATGGACACATATCGGTCATACCCCATTACTGCTAGAAGCATACAATTTGTGCACCCAAAGCCCAGGAAAATGCACATCTGAGTAGCACAGCCAATGAAGGAGATGGTCTTCTTTTCTCTTAGAAGATTTGCAAGCATATTGGGGATAATGACAAGTGAATAGCAGATTTCTGAGAAGGAGAGGATGGAGAGGAAGAAGTACATGGGGATGTGGAGGCTGCGGTCAAGCCTTATCGCAGTGATGATGATTATATTTGCCATCAAAGTAACCAGGTAAATTAGAGAGAACACCAGAAACAACGGAATCTGCAGGTCTGGGAAATTGGAAAACCCAGCAAGGATAAATTCTGCCACCACTGTTTGATTTCCTCTTCCCATTGATGCAGCATCTGAAAATAAACTTTAAAGGTGTTACAGATTGCAACAGTGCTCAACAGCTGATGTTTTATACAAAAATACTGGGGGGAAATGCTTGCTCATAAAATTATTTTTTATTTTTTGTTATTTATTAAATTTACCTACTGCCCTTCAACTGAATATCACAAGCCAGTTTACAACATAAAAACACAAAATGCATAATGTGACTGTAAAAATGCAAGGACAATAATAACTTACGAGGAAGCAGGTTGGATGTTGAGCTCTTCCAAGTGACAGCAATTTGCCACAATATCCTTTTTATGATGTTTTTATTTAGCATGGAACGATGTAAACACTTAGAAATCCCACCTGATATTATCTCCATGGTGTTTCAAAACGTAAAATAATCAACCATCTTATTATCACTGGGAGTTGTTAAAATCTACAAGTAATGTAAAAATACATGTAATTTTATTGGGTGTTTTCCCCCCTAAAACTGTTGACTTCATCTATATCGATACATTTTAGTATGTCTACTTGATTTTCAATTTTTATTTTATCATGATGAATATTACAGATTGTTTCGGTCTTTCTGATTAAGTGGTTTGTGAATATTGTTTAATAAATAAAACAGCAGGGTTAGCTGCACCGAAGTGACCACCTCAGGATACAAGTGTGCAGTGGTGTAGCGTGGGTTGTCAACACCCGGGGCAAGGCAAGTAATTTGCGCCCCCTAACCCGTGGATTTGTGCCCCCTAACCCGTGGATTTGCGCCCCCTAACCTGTGGATTTGCCCTAACCCCAGATGTTGCGCCCGGTGCGGCCAGCCCCCCCTGCACCCCCCACGCTACGCCACTGCAAGTGTGGGCAGTGTGTATGGAGGTACATGCCATGTGACAAAGACACATGAGAGCAGAAGCAGCAAAGCAGGCTGGGAAGTGCTGGGACTGCACAGTCATTTGGGCCTACTAAAGTTATTCAGGCCTAACTGCCAACTGTTGAGTCACCCTGACATGTGACTTAGTAGCCAGTTTATCTTTTGTGCTCTCTGTAAGATGTGAGAGTCTGTCTGCTTCAGCTATGAACAGTGTTGAATAGTGGGTAGACATAGCAGACGACGCAGCAATTTCTCCAAAGCAGCTCTTTATTTGTAAGCTGGAACAGAACTGAACTGAAGGGTTCAACCAGCTTGCTTATATAAAGCTCCACAGTAACCATTTTCTGTAACTATCCAATCACTGAACGTCACTTTTGATCCCTTATTTGCATATGTGGACCTGAACTATCTACAGTATCCCCCTGCTGGCCCAGGGTGAGAACTTCAGTACATAACAAATATTATGTGTTTTATTTTAATTATCTCATATTTATCCGCATTTGATAACTTTTTTTCAGCGGGGGTGGAACAATGATGGGAAGTTGAGGGACCTGCACAGTTCCTTGGGGCTGTCGTTTTCATTTCACGTGAAGGATCTCAGAGGCTCCTCTGAAATTTAATTGATTGATTTCCCCCTCATCTGAAAATCTCAGGGCATAAAAATACAAGATAAGAACACAAAATACAGAACAAAAACATAAACAAACAAAAAACACACCCCTCTCCCACAAACACATTTAAAAGAATATAAGATGTTACTTCAGCCCAAGGCCTCAGTTGACAAGGAACGCTTTTGCTTGGTACCTATAGGTAGTATAATGAAGGCACCAGGCGAGCCTCACTTGGGAGAATAAAGCCCCTTTTATAAAAATTCCTCCCCGTTCTTGGTGCCCGCTTGTGGACCCAGAAACATGTCACCTCTTCCTTCAGCATTTTCCTTGGAAATGCAGACAGGGCACTGCAAGAAAGAGGGAGAGAGGGCAATGTCTTCTGCTCTGAATCTCTGTGTGCATGTGTGTTGGGGGGCAGGCGGGGGCAGAGAGAGTTAAAGGCCAAAGGCCTGGTTATAGAAGAAACCTTTTTTGCCTGGTGCCTAAAAATATATGATGGTAGTCCCAGTGCAACTATACAACTGTGAAGCCTATTCTATGTGTGGTAAATTTGTGTGTGAAAGAGTTCCTCATCTTGCCAGGGAGATTGAGAATCTTAAGTTCCTCTTATGCTTTTATCCATTTTTTGTTTTAGACCACTTTTTTCAGATTCATTGCTTTTTTAACATTTCAGTTTAATATTAGTTAAACAAGGGGCTATATTTCCTTTTCAAGGGGAATTCAGCATCATACGTTGGTTTGTGGTGTAGTTTTTCTGGGTCTGAGGTAACTTCTGTTTCTGCTTGTCTTACTTTTGTATTGTTAAACTTTGGCCGTATCCATGCTACACATTTAAAGTTCTGTGATACCATTTTGAATGGTGGGGTTGGGGTTCCCTCAGGGTGAAATCCCCAGCTCTCATTCCCCACCCCAGGGTGTGGGGGGCATCCTTCAAAGCCACCATAGCCTCATATTCCTTCCAGTATTGGAGGCAGCCTAGCTTACCTCAAAGGGTTATTGCGAGGATAATTTGGACAGGGAAAGCACACCATGTATACCTCCTTGAGTTCCTTGGAGGAAGGGTGGGGTGTTCAAGTAAAAATAAGAACAATTTTGACACTTCAGTCTCAGCACTATATGAATTTGAAATAGTTCTGCATGAATGTTTGGTAGTGAAAATGAGGGCTAGGATTTGGGAGAAAACAACAGTAATCTTTGGAAACATTTCCTTTGTTGCGGGGCTGAATGATTACAGGTTTATTTATGAGAAAATTCCCACAACTCAATTTATTTTCCAGTGATTTACTAAAGAGAAAATCAAAGTTGTTTGTAAATGCTAAAGCAAGGCCACATTTTTCCAAATGAATATTCCACATACAAATGAATTTTTAAAAAGATGAGAAAAAGCTACAATACTATTTGAGGCGTTCTTTGTCCATTAAACAACAGATACAGTATTTGTTGGGTTTCATAATTCATCTTCAATTTTTAAAAAGGTGAGAAAAAGCTACAGTACAATATTATTTGAGGCGTTCTTTGACCATGATACTATACATATTTGTTGGATTTCATAATTCCTCTTCAAAGTGGCTAACACTTAATTGTCACATTCTTTGGGTGCAGGAGCTTTTGCCAAGTGATTTCTTAAGCGCTATTTGGACATCTTTGTTTCTCAGGCTGTACACTAAGGGGTTCAACAAGGGAGTCACCATTGTGTAAGAGACAGTAATAAAAGTCGTCTCATCTAGCGTGTAACTGGATTTGGGCCCTAAATAGATAATGCCAGCACACCCAAAGTGCACCACGACCACAATAAGATGGGAGGCACAAGTGGAAAAGGCTTTTCGTTTCCCAGCCGTTGTGGGAATTTTCAAGACAGTATTTGCAATTAAAATGTATGAGAGAACGATGAACAGAAATGCACAAATGACAACCAAAACACAAATAATGAAAATGACAATTTCTCCTATGTAGTTTCGGCCACAGGCTAATTCAAGCAAAGGTGCTAAATCACACAAAAAGTGCTTAACTTCATTTGGCCCACAGAAAGGCAAGGTAAATATGATTATAGTCTCTGAGGTGGAAAAAAGAAATCCAGTTGTTGCTGAACAAGCCACCAGTTTGGTGCAGACACTTTGATTCATCAAAATCTGATAACGTAAAGGTTTGCATATGGAGACATATCGGTCATACCCCATCACTGCTAGAAGCATACAGTTTGTGCATGCAAAGCCCAGGAAAATGCACATCTGAGTAGCACAGCCAATGAAGGAAATGGTCTTCTTCTCTCTCAGAAAATTTGCAAGCATATTGGGAATAATGACAAGTGAGTAGCAGATTTCTGAGAAGGAGAGGATGGAGAGGAAGAAGTACATGGGGATGTGGAGGCTGCGGTCAAGCCGTATCGTAGTGATGATGATTATATTTGCGATCAAAGTTACCAGGTAGATTAGAGAGAACACAAGAAACAATGGAACCTGCAGGTCTGGGAAATTGGAAAATCCAGCAAGGATAAATTCTGTCACCACTGTTTGATTTTCTCTTCCCATTGATGCAGCATCTGAAAATAAACTTTAAAGATGTTACCGATTGCAACAATGCCCGTCCGCTGATGCTTTATACAAAAATACTGGGGGAGAGGCTTGTTCATAAAATGATTATTTATTTTTTGTTCTTTATTAGATTTATGTACCGCCCTTCAGCTGACTATCACAGGCCACTTTACAGCATAAAAACACAAAATGTATAACAGGACTGAAAAAATGCAATAATAACAAATTAAAGAACAAGCCATTTGATGTGCCTTAAACATCACTCCATACAGCTGACTGAGAACTGCCTGCTTCCACTTGCCCAATGGTAGAGCCGGCCTCAGTAGACAGAGCCTAGCACAACAATTGTGCAACCAGCAAAATAATTGTGTCACCCCATGGACATATTATTACATTCACTTTACCAACGTCTACACTGCAGAGTTGAATGTCTGATATCTCCCTTTCGAGGAATCCTGGGAATGTCTGCTCCCAAGTTAGTGAGGCATTAGTGCCAGTTTACAAAACTGCATTTTCCATAGAACTAAAATTTTAGCAATCAGACAACATTTTGGCATAGTTCATCACCATAGATTAAAATTCTGTATCAGTGGCGTAGCATGGGGGGTGCAGGGGGGGCCGGCCGCACCGGGCGCAACATCTGGTGTTAGGGCAAATCCACAGGTTAGGGGGCGCAAATCCACGGGTTAGGGGGCGCAAATCCACGGGTTAGGGGGCGCAAATTACTTGCCTTGCCCCGGGCGCTGACAACCCACGCTACGCCACTGTTCTGTATTCTTTTAATTGATGGAATTCCACTGTGAATGAATGTCTGGCTACAGCCCACAAACTGATGAAGGAGCACAGAGGCAAGTGAGCTGAAGAGTTTGAGGCTTCACAATATTCCTGTCAATTGCAAAATTAACAGCATCACAAGACATAACTCTGAACACCACTAGAAAACTGAGGAGCAAGCCTATCTTAACCTGCCTTTTAAAGAGTCATACATGTCTACTCCAAATTGTAGCAGCTCTCCAGGGTCTCAGGTTGCAGTCTTCACTAGTCCTGCTAAGCTACCTCATACTCTTTTGGAAAAATATTGGATCTGGAGCCTTCTGTATGAAAAACAGTAACTCTGCTATTGAGTATTAATCTTGTGGCCAAGATAAAAAAGAGTCAGGTGCTTTGAAATTGTTCTTATATCCTTTCAAAGTGGCAAAGACAGCAGCATCTGAAGGGCTAAATGAATGAATTCAAATCAAAGCTGCAGAACCTCAAACCACAATAGACTTACAAGGAAGCACGATGGATGTTGAGCTCTTCCAAATGACACCAACTTGCAACAATATCCTTTTTATGATGTTTTTATTGAGCATGGAATGATGTAAACAAGTTTATAAATCCCACCAGATATTATCTCTATGGTGTTTCAAAACGTAAAATAAATCAACCTTCTTATTATCAATGGGAGTTGTTAGAATCTACAAGTAATAATTAACAATACATATAATTTTATTGGGTGTATTTTTTTTCTAAAGCTGTTGACTTCATCTCTATATCGATACATTTTGTTACATCTACTTATTTTCCATTTTTTATTTTATCATGATGAATATTACAGATTGTTTCTGTGTAAAGCACAGTTAGGTCTTTATGATTAAGTGGTGTGTGAATATTGTTTAATAAATAAAAATAGCGTACAGGACAAATGGCTCTGGGGTAAGCCACACCCATCGTCATATAGGCAGGGAAATTTCATTCTACAAGTAAAATGCTAGCACAACACCCAACATCTCACAAGGCACTGAAGACATCAGGGTTCAAGGAGATGAAACTGAACATTTTCACAGATTATATCTTACTGATGCTCCATAATCCAAGCTAAGCCCCTTTTCCTTTGCAGAGGATACTAAATGATTTCATGGCAGTATCTGCATTCTCAATGACTTCTGGACCCAGGTGTTCAATCTAATTTCTATTACAGTGCGTCAAACCTCAGCAATGGATCCAGATTTGGCATTGCTTTCTCTAGAAAGTAATACAACCCAACCATTGACCACTATCCTCTTGTACAGTGGTACCTCAGGTTACATACGCTTCAGGTTACAGAGTCCGCTAACCCAGAAATAGTGTATCAGGTTAAGAACTTTGCTTCAGGATGAAAACAGAAATCGTGCTCCGGTGGCGCACGATTAACCTGAGGTACCACCGTATTTATGTTCTAAGCAGCAGCTAAAATCTCCATTGCTAGTCACTGGAAATTCAGATCCCCATCCCAAGATTGTTGGTTAAGGAAGGTTATGGGACACTGCGCTCTCTGAACATCTAACATGCCAGAGAGGGCTTAGCGGCAGGGAGACAAAAACAGGCTGTTTCTATTCCATTGGGTAGCTCTTTCTCTCCTTTGGCAATGCTGAGCCAAACAAGCATCAACCGTCCCATAGCCCAAATACACATATGGTGAAGTTCTGTCACTCACAGTTGATATTATATGGTAAATACCTGTCTTGGGAATCTACATTTTGAGCTGCATTGCATTAACGGGTTTTTCCCTCATGGTTGTTGTTGGAATCATAGAATCAAAGATTTGGAAGGGACCCAAGGGTCACCATCGGCTGTGGGGAGGATAGAAGACGAAGAAGAAGAAGAAAAAGAAGAGGAGGAGGAGGAGGAGGAGTTTGGATTTGATATCCCGCTTTATCACTCCCCTTCAGGAGTCTCAAAGCGGCTAACAATCTCCTTCCCTCCCTCCCTCATAACAAACACTCTGTGAGGTGAGTGGGGCTGAGAGACTTCAGAGAAATGTGACTAGCCCAAGGTCACCCAGCAGCTGCATGTGGAGGAATGGGGAATCGAACCCGGTTCACAAGATTACAAGTCCACCACTCTTAACCACTACACCACACTGGCTCTCTTAAAATACATAAATACATACATAAAATAAATACAGGGCCTACTCCCTTATAAGGCCTTTCCAGCTGGCCTAGGGGGAAGTCCAAGGCCCTCACACTTCTAGCTATAAAGGGACTCCTCTGGCAGAAACAGCCTTCTTCGCTGTTGGACCCATTATTGATCTCATTAGCTCAATCTGCCAGAGCCTGTCTTTGCATATGGGAAAATTCCTCCTACACACACACACACACACAACCCAATTAATCCAGTAACTTCTTTCAATACTGCCTGCCATTCCTATTCTCCCCAGATAACAGCTTGCTTGCTCTGCTCAGACTCACTGCGGAAAAGATGTTGAAAAATGGACACCATTCAGATTATTCCCTCCCAACCACACCATACAGTAGAATCGCACCCCTTCCACACTACTGGATCATGCTGGATCTTGCTTCAGATATTGTATATTTTCTGAGAGAAGGAAAATCAGCCTGGCAGCTACTTTATTCTGGAATGCCAGCTGAAAGACAACAACCTCCTGGGGCATACAGGAAAATCAGGGGGTGAGGGGTCCGCTCAGACATGATAGCACTGCAAATTACATATCAAATTACACATCTAAGTAAGTAATGGGCAAATAAAATGATATAGCCTTTCTTTTGGCATGTTTCTGAAAGTAATTAAAGCGTAAGGTTTAAATTATATAAATATGAATGCTAAGATAAATGCATATCGAAACATTGCAATGCTCCATTTTGTGGACAAAGACTCTCCTCCTGAAGAGAGGGGAGTGGTTGTGGGCGGGAGCCCAACCCCCTGCCTTCCACTTACCTGGCTGGCGCCCACGCCCATCGGCAGGCACCCAACCAGGTGCCTCTGAGGGGGCGTGTATAGCAGCCTTAATACGACGGCGCCAGCCCCTCCTCAGCCTTACTCTTCGTCGTCCCGTCGTGATTCACCCACCCTCCACTCCCTTTGAGCTCAGGGCTTAGTTTCCCTTGGCCTTGCTATGGACCTTAGGTTGGTCGCCCTGGTTGTCCGGGGGGCCTGGTAGGAATTTTTCCATTTGGCATTAGGCTTTTTGGTTTTTCGCCTACCTCGTAGCAATCGTCACAACTTTCGTGGTATTGGTGGGTAGGTTAGGCATTGGAATAATGTGTAGTGGTGTCGAAGGGCTAGGTGTGGCCATCGCCTATGCCTTCAATTTTTGGGTATTCCGTTAAAGGAATCTGGCGGTCGTGTATTCTGTCCGATGCCTGCTTGGCGGGAGGCCATGGCACGACCCTCGGTGACATCAGGGGAAAGCCTATAGTTGGATTAGCATCAACAGGCTCCACCTACTGGTGAATAAACCCCCCTTGTTTCAGACTCACCCATCTCTGAGGGGGTAGAGTCAGCTGACGTAATCCAATGCCTAAGCCAATACCTTTTCACTTGCTGTAATCAATAAAGTTGTGGCCTTTTCTTGCCCATTAACCTTATATCACATGTCCTTGTGTATTCATTCCACTTTGGGGGGGGGGATTGGGACCTCGAACCACAATATATTGTTACGTCCTTGCCGACATGTTACAGAAAGCAAATGTCAGAACAAATCACATGAAAGCAAAAGAGCAGAAATCAAGTGTGTCTGGTTACATGAATTCCAACTTTTGAAAACACAACATATATGATTCCCCTCTTTTAAAATAGCCATTACTGGGCACAAGGAAGGGCAGAAATAATTACGTACCAAAGATAAGCAGAAATGGACACCAAACTGACCCCAACAAGAACAATTCTCACACTTCAGTCTCAGCACTATATGAGCTTGAAATAGTTCTGTGTGAATGTTTGGTGGTGAAAATGAGGGCTAGGATTTGGGAGAAAACAATAGTAATCTTTAGAAATATTTCCTTTGTTGCACGGCTGAATGATTACAGGTTCATGTATGCAAAAATTCTGAAAACCCAATTTATTTTCCAGTGATGCACTAAAGAGAAAATCAAAGTGGTTTCTAAATGCTAAAGCAAGGCCACATTTTTCCAAATGAATATTCCATACACAGATGAATGTTTTAAAAGATGAGAAAAAGCTACAATACTATTTGAGGTGTTCTTTGTCCATTAAACTACAGATACAGTATTTGTTGGGTTTCATAATTCCTCTTCAAAGTGGATAACAATTTTCACATTCTTTGGGTGCAGGAGCTTTTGCCAAGCGATTTCTTAAGCGCTATTTGAACATCCTTGTTTCTCAGGCTGTACACTAAGGGATTCAAGAAGGGAGTCACCATTGTGTAAGAGACAGAAATAAAAGTAGTCTCATCTAGCGTGTAACTGGATTTGGGTCTTAAGTAGATAATGGAAGCACAACCAAAGTGCACCACGACCACGATAAGATGGGAGGCACAAGTGGAAAAGGCTTTTCGTTTCCCAGCCGTTGTGGGGATTTTCAAGACAGTGTTTGCAATTAAAATGTACGAGAGAAGGATGAACAAGAATGAACAAATTACAACCAAAAAAGAAATAATGGTAATGACAATTTCACCTATGTAGTTTCGGCTGCAGGCTAATTCAAGCAAAGGTGATAAATCACAAAAGAAGTGCTTAATTTTATTTGGTCCACAGAAAGGCAAGGTAAATATGATTATAGTCTCTGAGGTGGAAAAAAGAAATCCAGTTGTTGCTGAACAAGCCACCAGCTTGGTACAGAGTCTTTGATTCATCAGAATCTGATAACGTAACGGTTTGCATA